GACTATGACCATGACTTGGCTCTTACCATGCCTGCTCTTGACTTGCGTGTCCATGAAGTCTATGGATACCGAGTCTCCCGGCTGATCCGGAATAGGCAAGGGTCTGAGAAGACCTAGGGGCGCGCGTGTAGTAGATTTATTCCTCTGACACACTTTACAACTGCGGACATACTCTATGCAGTCGTTCTTCATCCCTGGCCATGTGTACGCACGCATCAGATTGGCTAACGTCTTTTGCCAACCGAAGTGTCCCTCGGTATCGTGACATGCCCCTAAATCAGACTACGAATCTCTTCGCTGTTGGGAACACACAGGCGGTCAAACACATTAGTCTTCTCAAACAGCAACCCGTCTGTAGTGCGGTAATCTGTTTCGGTCTTTGGGGCCTCTCTAACTCTCTTTAGGAGGTCGCTATAGATAGGGTCCTGCGTATACGCTTGTTTCACTTTCTCCTGCAGGTCTTTCCCTATATCTAGATAATGTACTACGGCTCCAAAGTAGTCTGATCTCCTACTTAGAGCATCCACCACTACATTGTACTTGCCCTTCACTGGCTTGAGCTCAAAGTCGAATTGGTCTATCTCTGCGGCCCACCTAGTCAACTTAGGTGTCATCTTGGCCTGGGTCTTTAGCCAACGAAGTGTCTCATGGTCAGAATACACTTTGAAGTGCCTCCCAAGCAGATAGTGCTTCCAATGGTCTAAAGCCTGCCTGAGAGGGTAGAGTTCTCTCTCGTACGTGGAGGTAGCGACCTTCTCACTGGGCATCCTCGCTGACATGAACTCTACGGGTCTATAGCCATTGTCGTCGTCTTGCTGCAACACGATGCCTATCCCATACTGACTTGCATCCGTGGTAACGACAAATGGCAAGGATGGATCCGCTACTTTGAGGACAATATATTTTATTAGCGCGCGCTTTAACTTTTTTAGCGCAGACGTACAATCTTTATCCCATTGCCAGATTGTCTCTTTCTTCAACAACCTGCGCAAAGGAGCGGCGATAGTGGAGAAGTTCCTCACGAACTTCCTGTAGTAGTTAGTTAGGCCTAGGAACGACCGCAACTCTGTCAACGTGCGGGGCGTCGGCCAATCTCTAATCGCCGCTATCTTGCTGTCCTCTGGCTTAATGCCATCTCCGTCCAACACGTGGCCCAAGTACAAGACTTGTGTCTTGGCCCACTCGCACTTCTTCGCATTGATCTTGAAGTTAACCTGTCTAAGCTTCTCCAAGACCTGCCTCAGATGACCCTGGTGCTCCTGGAGGGTCTTACGAAAGACTAGGATATCATCTAAGTAGACTACCACAAATTTATCTAACCACGGTCTAAACAGGTCATTCATGCAACGCTGAAAAGTAGTTGGCGCGTTGGTCAGTCCAAAGGGCATCACTATAAACTCATAATGCCCATATCTAGTCCGGAATGCAGTCTTGTACTGATCATCAGGATGGACTTCTATCTGATGGTATCCGGTTTTTAAGTCTATCTTAGAGAAATACTTACAACCCTGCACCCGATCTAAAAGATCGTCTATCCTGGGCAGCGGCTCAGCATTCTTCACGGTGATCGCATTCAAACCCCTAGAGTCTATACACATTCTCAGTTCTCCTTCCTTCTTGGGGACAAACAAAACGGGTGCTCCAAAAGGAGACGAACTGGGCCTGATCCAACCTTTCTCACGGAGTTCGTTTAACTGCTTGCGAAACTCCTCTAACTCTCTAGGGGACATCCCGTAGACTGCACCCTTAGGAGTTCTGCTGTCAGGCTCTATCTCTATCCTATGCTGGATGGGTCGCGACACTACTCCTATCGGCGACTCAGTCAAGTCTTTGAATTCTTCCAGCAACTTGGCAATTGTTGGATCTGTGGAACTATCATTTTCCTGGGCCTCAGTGACAGATCTAACATAAATTACAAAGACCTGGTCTTCTAACTGCTCCTTCTTTACTAATCGCGCGAACGCGGGAGCACTGAGACAGCAATGTGCCAAGGTATTGTCTACACCAGACACATGGAACAACCGGGCAGTCTTAACCTCGCCTGACGGACTAGGGAGCCTACACTCATGCTCTCTCAAATGAAGTGTAGCCCCTGCTGCCTCTCCCCAATCCATTCCTAACACTATATCGAAAGGAAGGTCATCCTGCACGAGGAGAGTCAGGGAATGGAGAATTTTTTCCACCTTCCCATCCTTCTCTAGGCGAAAATATGCGTGGAATCCCTCTACATAGTCCTCAACGCGCATCGTGCGGTTGTCTGCGAGGACACTGACTATGGGGTCTGCTAGCTTTTGGACCTTTAGTCCTAGCCTCAGCTTTTTCAGCGCCTTACGACTAATGTAACTACGGGCAGCCCTTGAGTCTATAAGGGCCCCTACTCTACTCTTGAACACCTCTACGTCTACCAAAATCAGTTGTCCCTTACTCTCCCTTTTCATTTTGGCCCAGACTGGCATTCTCTCATTTAACTCTTCTGCCACACCTGTGAGGGACGTGCCTAAAGAGACGCTAACACAAGCAGTCTCTGGACAGCTAACTAGGCACGGACCTGCAACCTCTGCCATAGGCTCATGTGGGTTGGGAGTGTCCTGTTCGCGCGTGCTCACTTCTCCACATGGCCTGGAAGTAGGGGCAGTTGCGACCCCTACTGGCGGCTGCCTTTTGCCTGTTGAGCAGCCCAACGGGCCTGTCTATACTTTGGACAAAATTTAATTATGTGCGCCGGGTTACCACAGAATACGCACTGACCCAGGTTCACACGTTCCTTCCATAAGCGCTGGTCCAAGCCCAGATCTTCCTAGGGCCTGCCCTGCAGCAAGCCTGGGTGCCATCCTCCTTGAGGTGCCCTTCCACCTCCTCGTTGTGGGGACCGATTACCCTGGCGATTTAACGGGGGACCTTGACCCCTACCTCCCGCTTGGTGGTTTCCCTGTCCGCCAACCCCCTGTGCGCCCGGTCCTCTGCCTCCCATGGCCTGGCCCCTTTGGCCCTGGCCTCCTCCTCTACCTTGCGGCCTCCCTCCGACCGCGACAGCAGCGTAAGACCTCCCCTGCCCTACACAACTGTGCTCCTCCCCTAGGCCCCACTCAATCTGATCATATGGGACCTCTTCTGTACCACCCTCCTCTAATGTCAGGATCAAGTGATCCTTGGTCTTGACTTGGCCCAAGATGGTACGATCTTTCCACTTCTTCCCCTTCTCCAGGTCCTTATGCCAGAAACTGGTAACTGGCATAGACTTCGACTCATACAGGACGACTTCTCTACTCAATACATCGTAAGTCATGCCGGCCTGCTGAGATTTGTCAAAGAAATGCCCGCGTAGGGCCTCTGGAATGGCATGATAAAACAACTGGACCAGTCGGGGCTCAGTGACCCTGTTGTCCGGGACGGCTACCAAGTCGTCCATAGTACYCTTGAGTGCCTTAGCACTCCTCCACTGCCGGGAGTGGATTGTTTGAAGCTTATCAGAGGCTCTAACGCCTCGCGTTGGGTCAGCGAACCGCTCCCTGAGGAGCTTGAGGGATTGGGAGGCGGCCATCTTTGCTTGCTGCTCAGGGGTGTAGGGACTAGTCTCCGTCCCACTACGGGTCTCAACCATGGTGATAAGTGTACAACCGGGTTAGTGGTTCCAAACCTTACCACGTAGACTCTGACCCTTGACTGACAAACCTATAGACTCGATTTCAGACTTACAGAATCCTGACAAGGACCCTGTCAACTATGGTATCTAGCCTAGACCTATGCTATGGTTGTCACTACTGAACCAGTGGCTGATCAGGAGGCATTTAAGGAGATCCCCCGTAACTCCTCAAGAATTCTTTAACGTCGCAGTCAGGACGACGTGATCAGCTTGGCTCTACCTGTGCTTTCAGCCCACAACTCAGCCTTTCCGGCCTACTGTGCCACACCGAGCAGCCCGYCGGTCTGTACCGGTCCTTGGGAGGGTTCGTATCCCCCGGGACAGTCGAGTCGTCAGACACAGAT